AATTGCAGTTTGCATGACATACAGTGGTCTACGACTACATTATACTAACTTATACATCACTCCGTGATGCTCCCAACGAAAGGATTAAAATTGTAGTACGTACATCCGCTGTGATTCACATACATCGAGCCATGGGTGTCGGCGACTGTTGCGCCATCTTTGCTGAGCGCGATATAGGGAACTTGTGAATCCTCTGAAGGGAACGGTACAGAACCCATGGTCACACCCGGACCGGCGGTGAAATTTACTGTGTTGCTACCTATGGCAAGTGTGATAGTTGCAGTGTCTTTGAGCATCGCGAGTGCAAAAACGGCATCCTCAGGGTATGCAGCATTGCGTGGTAGGGTTCCGGTACTGCATTTGATGGCTTTGGGCCATGCCCGATACCAGAAAACGACCTCATCTTTCTATACGGAGAAAGAAAATTATCAAATTGAAGAGCGATTCAGCAAATGGCGCACCGTAATAGTCGGTGCAGAACCAGTCTTGAACCATGAGATATAGTATTGAGCTACATCTCGCCAAGCAGCATGTATGAAACCATCGACGTAAAGTGGGGCTTGTGTCCCAAGGTAAACCTACAAATCGCATGTCAACTCGAGCCGTAACTTCGACAACGGTATGAGGGGTTACTTTTGGATTGATATCCCCAATATAATGAGACTCGGCATAATCGTTCCAACTTACTAGAGCACGATGAGCTACGATCAACACAATAATAAGGCTACTGCACTGATTTCAACGATGTCGGGTTTCACATCATTCACGGCTTGCTGCCAGCGGTAGTTCCAGAGAGTATCACTATATTGGACCCAATCGCTAGCGCCACCGAAGTTCTTAAATTGCCAAGGCGAGACAGCTCGATTGAATGTCAACAAAGCCACGAAAACTCAGACTAAACTACTCACACATAATATACGGTCCACTGAGCGATGAGACGGCTGCTTGGTAGGCCAAATCCGTGGCTGTCGTCAAGTTTGCACCAACATCGGCAGGCCTAGCGAGACATTTTGTGAGAGTATCATTGTACTCTTTACGACATCGCTTACCAGGACCACCAATTGAAGAACCCATCAATCGAGGGGAACGTAGACACGAGTGAAGCAGCGCTCGAAGGGTCACGGTAAGTTGTGAACGCAGGTGCAAGTGTGATGTGTATGCCTTGGCTCTGAAGTGCGCTCTTGAAGCCAGCCCAGAAGTCTTCTCCGTAACTCTCCCCTGAGTATGTTGATACAAGTATAGTATTATTCCAGAGAAATGTACTTGGACTTGACGAGTGATTTGCAACAATATTGGCCATATCACTCTGCTTCCAAGTGTCTGACATATCAAAGGAATAGAAGAGCTTGAAGCCTAAAGATTCTGCAGCTGCATATGCATCAACAATCCTGTCAACTTCATAGTCATTTGCGGCAATGTTCAATGCTAAGCATGAGCCGTACATGAGTGACTGAAAGCTTGAACGAGAGACATGAGAAAGACGTACCAAAGCCATCGATGCCAATGTTCTGAGCTGTTGTCATTTCATTCGTCCAATCACTTTCGGCATACGAATACGAGTTTTGTGCCTATACAACGAGATTAGCAGCAGGAAATACAGTCGGAGAGTCTAAAAGACTAGCCATGAAATGGGCGAAAACGTGTTGCGCATTTGTGACGCACGCTAAGGCAACACATATCAGGAAGAGGAACATGAACTTTTGCACAGTAACTGAAGTCCTGAACGTTGACTCACTCTGGGAAACATTCATCTTCTTTTATACGGTAGTTCGGACTGGGATATGTCAGCTGTCGAATTGGAAGGAAGTTGAAGAGTACAAACCTCACCAAAGTTGTGACCGAATTCCGAGTGGGTGGGCAGATCCAAGCTGGCTAAGCCCATATGTACAATATTTATGCACAAGATGCCGCCGCCGCCTGCTGATGCATCTACCATGTTGTTATGTTCTGTCTCCTATTTATTGCCGTCACTACTATCAGTCCTACGCATCGACGATGAAGGTAAATCTACGCATTCCCTTCATCTCTGATACACTGCTTGGAAGTTGGAACTGAACTGCGGCAGTAACACAGCATGACCAATAGCACCCGGTAGTCCCTGGTGCTATTGCAAGTAGAGTTTCGCACAGTACCTGCGAACGAACCCAAGAAGTTATTTCCGATTCCCGATAGACAGACAACAAAATCAAGCCGACGTGGTGTCACATCCATTGAAATAGCTTTGGCCCCAACTTGGAAAATGATGGAAAGCTACAACTTCTGATCACGAGCGCCGGCCAGGTTGTTTGTGAGTAATGTATAGTATTGAACCTACTGATGTTCGTGATGGAGGCACTGTCATGACTTGGAAACCATCCTCACAAATTCCGCCTCAATCAAACGGCACAGGACGGATGCCTGGACCCTCGATCCTCTTTCCTGGCTCTCGCTCCATTTGGGCTGCCGCAAATGCACTAGGTACGGGTATACCGCAACAATCACCCCATCCTTCATGTGCATGTCCATCTCCGTGATGCGATTCGTCGGAAGATGGAGGCGGTGGTCCTTCGTATGGAAGAATGGATCCAAACAGGAAATGTTGCATGACAGGCAGCTTCCCTAGAACCTCTGCTTGATACATCTTGATCATTCCGGAGTTGACTTTTTCCCAGGTTTTCACCTACACAAGTTAGATGGGTCAATGTACCGAGGGCCGCAGCACGCACTGCTGATATATCATCCAGCATTGGTGAGTGCCATCTAAGTGAGGCCGTTTTGATCTATATCCAAATCTTGAGAGGTCAAATAGGCACGCAATACAAAACATACGAACGGAGTTGATGAACTTTATGCAAGAGAAGTACATATAATCCTTCGATAGTTCATCTACGATCTCTGCATCATGTATGGCCTTCGGTCGTACAAACTTGTGTCCTGCAGTAGAAAAGGTCAGGACTCGTTGCACACTATAACTAATTGCGACGTGCCGCGTAGCTGTGAAGAACCAAAGAGGAAAGGTAAAAAATGATAATCGTCGAGACCCCAGACGCCATGAGATCCAGCGGGTTCTAGCCAATACGTTGACTGAAGTATGCGCATGATTTGAATATATCTGAAAGGGATGAGCGATGAACAGAATAAATGTTTTGAGAATGCACCTCCAAAACACGAGAGTAACAAGCGCGGTGTGATCACTTGCCGTAACAACCTGCAGACGATCTAGACATATCCTGTGAGATGGATAAGGATCAAGCGAATTAAAATTATAGAAAGACTTACAGCCAGCAAAGAAAATTCAATTCCATACCGCTCCCATAGTCAATGCGCTCTCGGTTCCCCCAAGCCTGCGAGAAATAGGTAGTTAATTCGGGCGTAGCATTTTGATCTAGGCCGGGAAGGTCGGCATGCAACGACGGTGCCAACTTGAATACGGTAGAAGTAAGTGTGAGGAACGAAGGGAGAAGAATTGCAAGACCTACACTTTGGACTTTGTCGTAGAACGACCTGAAGGCCGGATTGCCAAATCTTGATGCCTTGTTCTCAACCGGGGGAGTCTCATGAGCCAGTTGCTCTATTCGATCTAACAAGCGGAGGATGGCGTTTATCCCCTGAGCTTACGCAAGAACAATGGATTAGATGTAAGGATAAAATTCGAGGAGGAAACGCACTAGAGATTCTGGGTGCGCGTCGGTAAGCTTCACACCCACCACGGAAGCATTCAGAACCTCGATGTACGATGTGATGGTATTGTAAGTAGCAGATGATTGAAACGCGGTCAACTGGGTGCTAGACAAGACACGCTTGGCTGGAATCTCGAAGGCAATCGACATCGTAGTACTAAGTCAAGGAAGATCCCATAATGTCGGACTTACCCGATGCGACTTCGAAGGCCCCCCTTCGAAATCAAACATTGACTGAAGCTCATTTGAAGGACAGCGACAAGTCTTATAATCTGAGCAGCCACTCAAAAGTCTTTTGGGGTTCTCGAACTTATCAAGTACTTATGTGCCACGAATGGTGCATGCAGACGTGGCATGTTCAAGCAGTCATGCTTTGGCGATCCGAATACATGCATATTGCCCATGACCACACGACAGGCCCACACCCACTCGAACTGTTGACATGGCCCCGTGGAGCAGCAGACATACATCAGTAAAATGCATACACCAAATGGACAATGCCTTTTTTCTTTAAAAAAAGCGGACATGTGGACGTCACAGCAAGATGGGACATACGGCCCCAGTGGATGACAACCCCCGAATCTCGACATCGGGATTCTTGGAAAGAAACTCATTGGCAAAGACCAAAAGGCTTCTAATAATGGTGATACAGAGATTTATCCGACCACGGGGGTCCATTCGTGATTGCAGGGAAAAGCACAGCTGAACCTGATAATCCAGTAACTTTTCATCCGTCTTGATAGGCCTGAACTACAATGATGGGTCGAGGCTTTGGAACTACACAGGAAATGCAATTGTAGGGTGGATATCTAAGCAGGTGTTAAATGAAATCAGAGGTGAGGTACCCAGTGATCTTCTATGCGTGTGTTTGAACTCGACCGGCGGTGATAATCCGCAGATTTAGGCTACATTTGTGTATACATCTGATAAGAAATGTAACAGGACTCACCTAGATCATTGCGAATGCCATAGTGACAAGTCTTGTCGCAATCTTCCGTTGAAGTCGTACCTGTAACCTTGGTCAATTACCGCATGCCATGATGCTGTGTGCGGCATAGTGTCGATTGATATCCCTGGCACATCTTATTAGCACGGTGCCATGCAGGAGCTATAGTTATATATCCATCGGATGAACGTTGAACGTTCAAGTTCAAGTTTGCAGTATAAAATCCACTAGTATTGAGTGACTGGTATTGATAAAGGTGTAGCGCCGAAGAACGAAGACGATGGAGAACTACTAGCGATGAGTCAATGACACGAATGCTTGCAGCCGTGGGAAAGTCATTCATATTGACCAAACAACACTAAAGTCTTTACGAATAGGTTGTACCAGTAGTACCACAACAAGTGTAAGTGTTTGTTACCTGCTAGCACAGGAATTGATGCCATCGTGTCTGCTTGATAGCGATACTTATAATTGCAATAACGTCGTTCAAGTGCCTGTCATCATGATGCCAGATGTTTCCCAAAGGGTGTTTCATGACCGCAGTATCTGCTCGCAAGCTTGTGCGTGGGATTGCCGGAAGTGTAATATGCTTTGCGCACACTTTGGACCCAAGATTGTTTATCGTAATCAAATGCTTTAATACAGAGTAGATTCACCTTTCTGCTTCGTGTGTCCACAAGGGATTACTAGCATTCATTGTGGTAACAATTCGGGGCGCGTGCGACAGACTCACTGATCAGACACACTAGCACGAAAGTATGCCTTTAGTGTTCTTAAATCTTACTTACCACATGTCGACTTGCAGGCAACCCGAGGTATCATGGCGTTGACAACCCCGAAGGCTGAGCTCATTGGCGCTTTTATGGAGTCACTGGCATACGGTTTTGTCATCCCATCTCTATATGTGTCCCATGCTAATCCTTGCCTAGGTGTATATCTGATGGTGTTTAGTCAATGCATGTCTGTACTGAGGAACAGGCAATCGCGACCAAGTGATTACTTGGTCGGGACTGCAATTTCATTGTTCATCTTCATCACGGCAGTGCGTGTCTCGTCGACTCAACATTGTCGACGTATCTTATGCATAACTCTCTAGCACGTTGCCGTTGATATCCTGCGCAATATACAGGCTTTCACTACAGACAAGGCAGAGCCAAATTATCCAACCATATATTATGGGACATTTGACACTTGGCAGAACATGCTGAAGACTAGTCTGTATGTTGCTGTTACATTGGTGTCCGACGCATTCATTGTACGCGTCCTAAACTTATCGTTATCAAAATCTGAGCATCTCTGCAGTTATACCGCTCATTCATTGTATGGGGTAGGAGTTACCTCATCTCCATCTTCCCTTTCTTGTTATTCATCGCGGACATTGGTTTGTTTCATTCTGCCATCCATCTGATACGGCTAACACGTAATATAGCTATGGGTGTTCTCTTGGTATACACTTTGAGCCGTGTCGTTCCGGGTGAAAACGTCTTCGCCGATGCTCTCTCTGTTCGCGTCAAGATATTCTACTCGACTACTCTGACCATGAACGTGATCTGCACATGTTTGTTTGTTACTCTACATCCGGGACCAGACTGAATTCGCATTTCAGTGCTGATTGCAGTCAAGATTTTAAAGATCCAAAAAGCGGTCACATCCTTCGCAAAAAGCGGTGGGGAACAGGTCTCTCGTTTGGTGCCAATCATAGTTGAATCTGGTAAAAATTCTAGCAATGCCTTCTCTGATATGTGTTCATGCTCCGGTAGGTTCTGTGTACTCAGCCTTACTCGTGGTTATGATTGGAACATGTGCTTCTGGCTCTCCAGCCATGTTCATCGTTTTGAATTCAGTGAGTCTAGCTATTCTTTCCAAAAAGACTTAACTAACAGCATATCGATCAAGATATCACCGATTATCGTGAGTTCCGTGTATTTTATCTCCTCAATTTGCTCACCCTACGTCCGACACAGGGCATCGTGGTATGTTGATTCCCCGCGACTGTTTCTCCTCCCTTTCTCACGTGCATCGTTCCTCCAGTTCTCTTCCGTTATCGTCCGCGTCGGTCTGGGCGTATCTCATGGCGATTCCCATCGCGCCAATGGCACAATATCTTCCTCGCGGAACGTTCAGTGGATGACACGTGTGGGTTCCAGGCTACCCAATAGGGAGCCGCCGATTTATGCTGCGCCATTCCCGTATGGGGGTGTTCAGGTCTCGCTGCAGCAAACTGTGCATACTCATGCCGACACCTTACCGGATGACATCGAGAATGGCATCTCAAACTTACATACAAAGGGCTCTTTCTAGGCTCTTTCTGTGTGATATAGCAACGGAGAAAACGTGTATTTGTCATTTATTTATCAATCCGACCAAGAATTTAGCGAAGAGAATGGCCGGCTGTTGAGCTGAGGTGTGGTGTGGTTTATAGATAGGTTCGATTGACGCATGTGGTCATAGACTTAGCGAGACACTGTTGGGTAACATGGATGAACGTTGAACCTACATCTTCGGCGAGGGCGAAGGGTTTGCAGAGACTCCGCATACAATGTACCCATGCAGTATACCCATAAGACAACGGTAAGACCATTAAGATCCCTCGACAGTGTTACTTGATTTGGTCCCTGAAGCTTCTGAAGGCTTGATTGAATTGAGATACAATTCGGTCCGGAATCACGCAGATTCTAAATATTTCGTGCAAGTTGATCAAAATGATCAATCACCCTCGTGGAAATTTTGCAGACTAGAGTTTGTTCTTTAGGCCACCTTTAAACTTGCCCACTACCGCAATCTATATACCAGTTCTCTTCAAAGATATCCCAGAGTCCACAAGGATGAGTAAAGTAGTGCAAGTCATGGACTTGAAGCGACATCCCGTGGTAACCGTTCCATAAGTGCAATGAAGCTAACACAAATTCAAAATCCTCCCTCTTTGACATTTTCCACTGATATAGATATGGGCCTGGCTGCAATGTGCCTTCAAATTCTGCCTCCAGTCCGAGGTCTTCATGCCGCGGTTCTTCGGGTTATGATCTCCTCTCTAAAATCCGTCCTCTATTTCCAAATACTTGAATGATGTTGTGTTATTTTAGATGGGTCACACTTATATCGACTAATTTCATGCATATGTTGAAGCCGGGCCCTGGGCCTGAACGGTAGAACTACTTGAAATGATATAAGTAACTAGGCTAATAACTAACGGGCTGATACCATATAAGCCTAACGCACTGCTCTCGATGTCAATCTATCACTCAAATGCACAACTCCTCGAGGGTATCAGAGTTTACCAAATGAGGTGACCACTATAGTTCAAAAAGGCGTCAAAACCTAATGATGTGCATCAGACAATTATACCACACGTACCCGTCGACAAAATATTCTGCGCCTGTCATGTAACTGGCATGATCGGACAGGAGTAAGATCGCCTGACCTGTCATCTCATATGGCTTTTGAGGCGGTGAGCGCCTGTCGGATCAAGATTATTTGATACATACCTCGGCGAAGCGTCCGAGCGGTATGGTCTTTGCCTGATGCTCGAGGACGGAAGTTTCCATACCCGAGGTTTGATCTGTGTTCACTGGTATCAAACGTTTAACAAGTTAGGACCAACAGGATTATTGTAAGATACTGACCATAACCAGGGGACAGCGCATTCACTCTAATCCCATGAGTGGCCCACTCTGCTGCCAACCCTTTCATGAGGATGGACACAGCACCCTTGGATGAATTGTAGAAGACTTGAGTCAATGGCTTATTTGGCGCAACTTGGTTGATGATCCGAGAGCTCATGGAGGATGTAATAACGATCGAACCGCCATACTTCTTGTCAATCCACAACCTGCCATATCCATTTGGCTCGCGCTTTGCAAAATACTACCTCATGATAGAACTCACTTTGCCACAGCCTTGGTGCTGTTGAATACACCAAGGACGTTAACACCGTACACTTTATGGAAGTCTCTGCTGGTCAGCTCGAGTGCAGGTTTGACCACGGAGACGCCAGCATTCTGTGATATCAAGTCCCTCGTTTTGAAGAAATGACATGGCCGAAGAACGTTCCACTTACTGCTATGAGTCCTGTCACCGGACCGAGATCTTTGTCGATAAGAGAAAACGTCTCGGTTGTCTTCTGTGCATCGGATATATCGCATTGATAAGCCTGCGTACACAAACAGGGAGGGTTAATGCAATAAGTCAACCGCCAAACATTCCACCAACCTTGACTTGCACGCCATATTCTTTCCTAAGGTTCTCAGCTACTTCATGCGCGTCCTTAGAGCTCCTGAAATACACATTTCATTTGTAGAATATGAACGCCCGACTCGGGGCCAACCTGTAGATAATAGCCACTCGTGCACCAGCATGGGCAACAGCGCGACTATAAGCGTATCCAATCCCGCGGTTGCCCCCAGTGATGATAATGCATTTGTCTACGGCGAGGCGAACAATGTCAAGCGAAAGGTGACGTATGGACAATCACGCACTGGAGAAGTCGATTGTAAAACCTTTCGAAGCCATGGTATGTTGCATACGTCCATGAGGTTTGGCATTTGTGATTCGAGATATATGTAGTGTGGACGAAAGAGAAGTGCGAGGAGGTCCCAGATCCCCAACTTGTATTCTGGCGAGCTTCAGGAACCGACGTCATAACCACCTCGGTGAAATTGCCTTTCTCCGAGTCGTACTAGGAACTCACATTAATCGAGGATAAGGAACGTGCACGTAGCGCGAGCTTTTGGTAGGCTGAATGCATGTCTTCGTATAATAGGTTGATAGAATAGCTGAAGATGTAAGTTGCTGACCAGGTGAACCGGATGCATCTATATATGCTCTCCCGACCTAATCGGAATCTGTGGAGCTCTGTGGAGCTGTACTACTGCAGTCACTTGTATTCACAATTTCAGTGACGTTCCGGGAGAGGTATCAACAAGCATTACCTTTTCACATCCGTCAGGCAAGCCGAAGCCTAAGGCCTAAGCCCCGACGGTCGAGGCACGCCGAGCAGAAGTTGTTGCGGCTAACACCAAAATTACTACTTACTGACTAAGCAACAGAAAGGGCCGGGAAGACCCGAGGAAACCCCAGTCTATCTAGATGATCTAGTCTCTGGAATCATTACAAAATGGCAGCCGTGTCATTACTTCAACCTTCGATTCACAAAAACCTGATGAGATTAGAAGCGATAATAAACATAAAGAAATGCAGAGATCAGTATGATCGGCCCTATCAAGAAGCGCGCTCGTGCATGCGCAAACAAAAACAGCACATCGTCCTTCATTCCATTCCCTAGAGTCTCTGCGATCAGCAAAATATCATTGACATTGGGGACACTCACCATATATTTTCCCCTCCGCATGTTTCCATCCTTCCGCCTTCTCTCCCAGCAAGTCGTCAGTTTGTTCCCACTTGTCAATCTGCTGCGGCTCTTCGTCGCATTGTAGCTGGACACGGACAACCTGGCCAGCACATTTCATTATCGCCTTCACGATAGATATAGGCCACTGCCAATTTTCGTTCAGCCAGAAATACCACCAGTAATTGTTCCGGAAGTCGCGTAAACGCAAGGCGACCGAGAGAATATCCTGCGATGCAGTGTCACTATCGGACAGCTCGGCTGTGAAATCGACGTCCAAGGCGTCCCAAGCGGCTTTCTGCATTTTTCCTGGTCGATATATCACTACTGTATCCTGCACGAACCCATGATAGCTCCACAAGGAAGTGATAAAATGGTGCCAGAGAGACTCCTCGTCTTTGGGATGACGTATATGGACATAATACTTCACGTTATCGAGGGTGACTAGCAGAACGATGATCTTGAAGAGATTAATCTCAGCTTGTCCAAGAGAGATGGAGCGTATTGTAGCTCTGCAGAATGGTGAGCCTTTTCCGCCGTTGGGTGACAGAAGTTGTTCTATGAAGTTAGACAATGATACTTCGACTGGGTGCTCGTCACCGTCATCTTCAGGTAACTGGAGCGATGTGACAGTGGAAAGTAAGTGTGATGCTGCCATGTTGATTGCTGACCAAGGCCAGTCATTACAACTAGATTGATAGGGAAACGATTCATCGGAGGAAACATTGTGAGGGAGCTTGACTCACAAACTGTTCAAGCACCATGGAATCTCGATAAACAGGTGCTTCAGTTCATGGCAAAATCTTCCGACAATCTCTGGCCAAGTATGACCGCGAGGGTATATGATAAGTCCCGCAATCGTTCTCGCCACGTTGGTCACAACCAGCCAATCCAAGAATCCGAGCCGGTGATTTGTCACGACCTAAACGTGTGTCCTCTCGTTCATGCCAGTAAGTATTTGCATATGAAGTGACCTACCTTAATCCATGCGCCTGCTGGTTTGTGAATAAAGCCAGCTCTTCCGAGGGCCCATATTGCTATCGAGTCCCCTTGACGTAACCCCAGAGTCAATGGGTGATGATGTTCCATGACATGCACGGCGCCGTATGATCGCCTCCCCGATTCGCTCCGAAACTGTACGCTGAGTGGAAAGCAAGCGGGTTCAGAGACCTCGATGAGTCTTCCGTCTTGCGTTTGGCGAAGAATAGCACATCGAAACCATTCCATTCTATTGAGAGTGCTCTCAGTAACAGAGGCCAACTGTTCCTGGCCTGGTTCTAACTCCACAGTGCCGTAGATAAATATATGGACTGATGTGACTCTTGCTCCAGAGGTTGCAATCGGGGGAACCAGGATATATAGATATTTACTTGGGCCGCAGAAATTGTATCCCAGAAGGTGAGTGGCAATGCCCGGGAATGTGGGGATTAAATCTGTAAAGTCGGGTGGCAGGATAGTGTATGTGTGGTCTTGACCATTCGTGTTGGCTGTCCGGTCCTTGTAAATGCAAAGTTCCTTGATGCGTAGTGCCCAGTTGAGAGGACCGAAAATGACATGTCTGAACCAAAGTCCGAGACCAATGAAGCCACAAAGGAAGCAAACACATCGCAGAGTACAATACTCGTGCCAACGTAGGTCATGCCTCCCTTTCTCTGAGAATTCAGGCTATCAGGCAAGATACTGCATTGAGATGTACGAGACACACCTATGCAATGCAAGAGCAGACCGCCAAGCGCACCATACTCGGTCAACAGATAAATTTTGAGCTGGTCCAATGTTACATCCCTCCCTGACATAGTCACTATCTCGACGTTGCTACTAGACTCAATGGCAATGGCCATAACAATGCCTCGAGACCAAGCCCAACAGTTGGCACTGAACAACGCATAGGCTTTATGTTTCGTCCCTATTTGCCTTAGAATCCGAGCAATGGAATGAAGAGTGACCGGGCTATGAGTAGAATGATCAGAAAACTGGATTTCGAGGACAGTCATGGTGCATTTCCTCCGATGATTTTCATGGGGATCATTTGGTTTATAAAACATTGCTTCATCTGCGCTGCCTTTCTGACTGCCAACAAGACTGCTAAGAGTCACGGGTATTCGTTCTCCTAGTCCTGTGCCATGCCAAGAATGTTCCAAGTAAAGCAGACGCGTTTCACTTGCATAAGTCAGAGTAAGGACGATGAACTCGTGACGCCAGTGGGAAAATCGGGTATCCTTGAGCAATTCCAGTTTATGTATTAGTGCCTTGCCATATTTCGAGGCAGTGGGTTTTGACAGTAGACGTAGTGCCGGGAGTGAGCCCATCTGAATTATTAATATTTATGGTGGTGATGATTTGTAAAGTTGTCACTCACTCAAGAGTTTTGTTATAGACTCACCACGACCACTCGCCTGCTGATACTCTGACTTTCCCAAGACCATTTTGCATAAATCATCGATACGATATTCTGAATCAATATCAAACGACATAGCGCTGGTCATGCTGTGGCATGCTGTGGAAGCCGCTTATGCTCTTCTCCACGTTCCATATACTAAACATGGCTGAAATGAGCCCTCGAGCAGTCTGATTCCGCCTCGAGTCTGACCGCCTTATACCAGCAGCCTTCATATGATGTTTCGTCTCCTCTCCAAATTATATCTGTTGTGTCTCCAAATCTTGGATAATGTTCTCTTGTTCCAAATGGGTCACACTTATCTTGCCCGATTTCATGAATTTGCCGATGCCGCTGAAGCAGACGGCCTACAAGCTGTCAATCGCTGGCGCGTGGAACAGCAAGCAGAGTGGAATAGAGTATCGAACACGGTAAGCTGTATATGCTCAAACGAGTCGTCGACCTCCACTAATACATCATACAAAATTCATGTTTTGTACAGCTCGCGTTCCTCGCCACTATGAGTGCAGCTATCCTCGCGATTTCACCACCCGCTCCCCCTCTCGCTTTCTCTGTTTGGCTGGGAGCAGCTGGGTTGAGCGTCTGCGGTCTTTTCATTGTTCAGTACTTCCCTATCCAGGCGTTCTCTATTTCGGACGAGGACATGGCAGAGCTAGTGAAAGGTTGCAATTACATCAACCCAACTTTTCTTGCGATTGCGGTCGCCAGCCCTGTCATATTCGCCCTCTGGTCATCTATCCTTTTTGCCGTTGGCATCGTCGATTACATTATTGAGAATACTCATGGCAAACCGCGGTTCATGCTACTCTCGCTTGTACCAGTCGCTATCGGTTTCATGGCAAGCGCGGCCGTCATGGTCATCGCCAGCATCATTGGGCAACGTGTTAAAGCCCGTGTAGGTGTTCTGTTACTGATACTTTTCCTTGTTTGACCCTTTCTCTCCTAACCTCACTAGTATAAGGGAAAGCCACGCCATAGGTGGCATGGCTTACCGCACAATGACGGAAATGGTCTGTAATTTTTATATCATCTTCGTATCTGCTGTGAATATGTTGCACAGGAAGTTTATTGAACTTGACACGGACGAGCGTGGGCGCCTGACCTTGAAGGGGGTGTCGACTGTGGATTAGTTGCATCCACAACCATCTCATCGTTCCATACATTGGCCTCGCTTCTTTGATAATATCCAAAGTCTCAGCAAACATTTACATCGTTGTATTAGGCATGTAGGATTGAGTCGTTTTCTTCCTTATTTTGTACAGCAGCGCTGGAATTCTCTGAAATTATTGTACACGCATTACATCCTTCTGTTGTAATGAACTACTCCCTCTTGTAAAGCTCCAGCCACACCATTGATCACGGCTCTTTTGAGACGACAAGCAAATTTACCAGATAAGCTGGCCGCTAAAGGAATGTGGCAAGGAATCTGTCAGATTTTTGATGCTGTGCGAAACCGGCAGACATACCCATCAACGCGATGCTCCCCGCCAGTCATGTAACTGGCGTACTCAGACAGGAGGAAAAGTGCCTGGCCTGCGATCTGATCGGGCTACAATTTGTAAAATAAGCGAATCAGTAAATTCTAAATGAAACGCACAGTATGTACATACCGTAGCGAATTTTCTCATGGGAATGTGGTCCTTTTCATATTGAATGACTTCGTCGGGCAAATTATCAGTTTGGTCCGTCTTCACTAATACATATTTTCAGTACGTCGTGCTCGAGCCATAGAAAGAAATACTGACCATATCCAGGAGCAACTGAATTCACTCTGATGTTGTGATTAGCCCACTCAGCAGCCAACCCCATGGTAAGGTTGGAGACAGCGGCCTTGGAGGAGTTGTAAAAGACCTGCGTCAAGGGTTCGTTTGTCGCAGCTTGGTTAATGATCTGCGAGCTTATGGACGACGTGATCACAATGGAAAGGTTCTCCAATTTTTTCCCTTTCCAAAGTCTGCCATATTCGTCAGGTCTTGCCTTCCACAAAATACATGGAAGAGCTTACTTTGCAGCAGCCACAGCGCTGTTGAATACGCCCAAGACATTAACATTATACACGTACTTAAAGTCCTCTGTAGTGAGTTCAAGAGCAGGCTTTACGACAGAAACACCGGCATTCTATAATCAAACCGCTCGTGTCAAAAAACAATCTGGCGGAAACGAATCTACTCACTGCAATAAGACCTGTGACGGGGCCAAGCTCTTTGTCGATGGACTCAAACATCTCAACTGTCTGCTTAGCATTGGTGACGTCGCACTTGTAAGCCTATGCAGGAGGATAGGGGTCTGCATGACGACGGCATTTCAGCGAGGTTGGTTTACATACCCTGACTTTGACGCTGAATTCCTTCTCAAGATCTTCAGCGACTTTAGGGGCGTCCTTGTTACTCCTAACCACACATTAATTAGCAATTGACAGCGTCAAAGTAGCTAAGCTCGACTTGTAGATGATTGCTACTCGGGCACCAGCCTTAGCGAGAGCGCGGCTAAACCCAAGCCCAATTCCACGGTTACCCCCAGTGACTATGATGCATTTCCCTGCACGTATAATTAGGAAGAATTAGACCGACTGCCACTGATGACCCAGGGCGACGTACCAGAAAACTCGATGGTAAGAGGTTTAGACATTGTGAGTTTTGTAGTGTATAAGTGTTGACTGCGAGTGTAGATGGCTGTTGAGAAGTCGGAGAAGACTAGAAAGGAGACTAGAGGCAAGCAGTATATAAACTGTCGTGGTTCGAAGACGTCATAACCGTCCCCTCTTTGAATTTGATAGTCAGTACTCTATTGCCCGAGCCAGGGATGAGTCCCCTCTTCTGATTGAACTGGCCAACTTGAACTGTAATATGGATCTGCCTTTCTGGACTAGCAGGTACTACTCACAACGCTGGGGCACAGTTAGTCCGACAATTGGCCTAGTCACCCAAATATTTTCGTCTGTACAGAATATTGACAAACAGTGTCACCTGAAGGCGTGAGGCGGCCGATTAATAGAATCTGCACTGCTGTGGAAGTTAAGCTAGCCTTATCATGTCTCCATTCACCCCGAATCCCAGCACATTGACTGAAGTATGACCCACTTGAAATGAGATCGATACAAGTTATCCCTAACCATACATCAGGGCTACAGTACCTGCGCTACTTGTGCTTGCCCGTAGCTTTCCCTTTACCCTTATGGAAAGCCTTGCCCTCAAAACCAGGTCGAGCTTTAGTTTTCCCCTTTGACGACGACGACTTCCTTTTATCGCTTCGTCGCTCATTTCGCATCGCGATGTTATCTGATCGTTTCTTCTGTTTTGCAGCCATGGAAGCTGCGAGCTGGTCTTTCCTCTCCTCCCTGCAACAATATAAGTATCAATAAAAAACCAAGTGATCATCAACAGCTTACCAGGACTTCTTGCTCTTCACTTTCTCCTTTTCTTTCCGTTTTACTGCCTTCTTCAGGCGCCCTTCGTCATCCTTGACCTTGACACCTTCGACACGCGCCTCCGCTTTTGCCCAACGACTCTTATCTTCTATAGCCTTGCGTTTGTCCTCCGGCATCGAATCCAATTTTTCCTTCCGCGCAGCGAGCTGCGACAGAGCTTGATTAGGATTAGAAGACGTCTTGAGTGATGCAGCCTTTTTGCTCGAACTCCCGGCCACCACAGAAAAAGATACATTAGTCAATGGACCGTCGATAGGGCGAGATGCTGCAGTTCCTTTCGAAGCGACTGGCAAGTCCGGAACAAGTAGCTGATTCTGTTTTTCGAGCACACAGGGATGAACTCGAGCTCAAACCTCGCAAGGTGCGAAAATACCTTGACAGGAAGACCCTTCGTCACTTCCTTCTTGCTTCCTTTTTTGCCTTCAGCCTCTGCCTTGCGCCTCTCTTTTGTCTCTTTTCGTCTTTTTTCACGAAGCGCGGCGCGTTGCTTTCTCCTTTCTTCCAAAAGCTCGTCTTTATCTCCCGGCTCTCCACCACCTTGTCCACCCCGTCGGAGAGCTGCCATGCGCAAATGTAATTTATCTCGGAGAGCAGCGATACTCTCTGGTTTAGCCATGGGCACTATAGAGTCAAGTGGGGCGGCCATAACGGTATCACTGAGATCCACATCATCCACTTGCATAACGTCGTCGTCGGCATCAGAATCAGACCCGAGTATCGCAGCTTTCCGCTTCCCTTTGACTTTCGAGTTGTTTTTTTCTAGCTCAAGAGCAGCTTCGTTCTGAAGGTCGATGACTGACTTTTGATTGGCTGGGTCCAGCTAGGAAAATAAGAACTCAGACTCAAAAGGGAACATCAGGCAGTGATGATAGTGGCAGACCTTATCCCTACGAGCCTTTTTTGATGCCTCCTTCGCAGCTTGTTTGGGTGCTTTCTTGTTTTTGCTGTGTTTTTGATACTTGGACGGAACCTGTCCGATGCGCACGACGCGATTCAGATTCATCAATGAACGACTGAAAATTTAAATAACACACATTGTCGTCTGCATCATGATCATCTTTCGGCAGGTAGTATTTGGCAGGTATCAAGTTTAGTAAAGCCTCGAAGGTATCATTATGAGCCTCGACTGAGGCGCGCAGGACTTCGACGGGTGTTGGGGGCATTGGTACGAACAGGCACGAAAGAACGGATCTGATGGTTTGCAACGGGAGCAGAATTTTCAGATTATTATTACGTCATACAGGTCTACATATAGATACATAGTAGCCTCTATGTAAATACTATATGCGGCCATGTCGTCTGAAGCTGACTCGGAAGCTTGAGCTTGAAACTTGAAGATCTGGAGTATGCATGTACTATGTAGCTATCCGATATGAACGTTGTTAACCACAATAATACTTACTCTAAGATCATAGGCCCAGGGAGACTGAACAATTTAGAGGAAAACTGAGATGAAGTCTGGAGCCATTGTAGTCTGTAGAACATCATTGCATTGACAACGCCTCTATTTCATGATTCTTGTGAGTGTCGTGTACTAGAAGATGACTATGAATGATTTGTATGTCCCGACTCAGAGTGTTCAATGTCCAAAAAACATGCCATGAGCCAAGCTCAGTCCATCTGAGTGCCTCAATACAGAAATGCTCAAGCGCAGTCTAGCTGCACTTACAAACCTCGGACAATTCACAAAGAAAAGTATTGATGCTTATCATAAAAGCCTAAGTGCCACTGGTGTCAGGCTGCGGCTTGGGCAGCAAAGTACCATGGACACCGTGTTTTCCCACCTTCAATATACTCAGTAAACTCGATGCAGTTGAAAAGTGACATGATAAAATATGAAATGTGAGTTTTGAAGTGTGTTGCGTATTACCCATCGATTGATTGTACATGGTGATACTTAGTACCTGTACATACACATCGGGGTGAACGATATTTAAAAGAGGTTTATATGTTGTACAAAATGTGAAGACAATATTTGATATTTAAACTAACATAAAGATGGGTGCACGACTTCAAATTTTGGTGGTGTTTTGTGTGTAATCCAAAATATCAAATATTCACAACCATATTCCCACAGACAATATGTCAACAAACATAAGAAATATAGTCAGATTTTTCATGTCTGCTTCAACTTAAAGTTCAATTTCCATGTAAAACTTTGGAGAAAACTTGAAGTTTTACAGATGACATGACATTAAAACTCGATTTAAATGTCAAGCTTTGGCAAAACTTCAAGTTTTCTCCAAAGTTTTATGTAAGAATCAAACTTTAAATTGAAGCAGACATGGAAAATCTGATTATATTTATTATATTTGTTGACATATTGTCTGTGGGAATATGGTTGTGAATATTTGATATTTTGGATGACACACAAAACACCACCAAAATTTGAAGTCGTGCACCCATCTTTATGTTAGTTTAAATATCAAATATTGTTTTCACATTTGTACAACATATAAACCTCTTTTAAATATCGTTCACCCCGATGTGATAACTCGGATGTTTGAGAAAATGATCGGAAGCGGAAGTCGGGAACTTGCTATGTAACACCATGCAACCCGGGCCATCATATTGACAATGGCAATGAGTTTAACAAGGTTCGTGGTCCAGCGGCGACGTGCCAGCTGGAGCCTATTGCGTTAATCGCGCATGACCGTAATATGAACGGTATCAATAAACACAATGTGTGTTGTTAATCGTTCGTTTTCATACTCATGCCAGCAGGATTTTGTTTGACCCATTGCGTCAATAACAAATTGCTCATGCAGCCAAAGTGCAGTCGCAAACCGGTACTAATCCGAGTGAAGGTCCAACTAGGGCACTCCACTTGGCATCTCTTGCTCATCTTTTGCTAACAGTCGTCCATGTCGACATTCACCGTTCTTACTTTGCTATACATTTGTCTTGCTGGTGTCGGAGTGTTTCTCGACTACATATTCGCCAAGAAGAACCCACAATATCCCCTTGGTCCTCGGGGCCTGCCTCTAGTTGGGAACATTCAAGACATACCTTTTGTCAAGCCCTGGCTCACCTTCGCTGAATGGGGCAAGAAGTATGGTAAAAGTCTCCCATTTTTCCAGAATCATACATTTTAATGCCATTGCGCGCAGGTGATATTTCGCATGCCAGTGTTCTAGGTATGCACATCTTCGTGCTGAACTCCGCCAAAACTGCGGTGGAAATGCTGGACAAGAAGAGTTCTATATACTCTGACCGTCCAGTTGTTACTATGAGTGGCGAACTTATGGGCTATGGGCAAACTTTGCCTTATCTCCGTTACGGTGAACGCTTTCGCTCGTTCCGCAAGAATTTCCATCGCGCCCTTGGTAGTCGCGCTGCTTTGGTTGTCTACCACCCCATAGAGGAGATGGAGACCCACAGATTCCTGAAGCGTGTACTAGCGAAACCTGACCAACTGCAAGCACACATTCGACAGTATGTATTCTGTAGTGTTACTACTGGCTTAACCTTGAAACTTTCTAGCACCGCTGGCGCTATCATTCTGCGCATCTGTTATGGTTATGAAGTCAAGGAGAATAAGGATCCTCTCGTTGACATTGCAGAACGTACTTTAGACGAATTCTCGCGGCATGCTTACATCGGTGAATTTATGGTCGACTTCCTGCCATCCTGTAAGGCCATGACATTTCGGCGTTCACTCTCAATAGCCTGACTATGTTCTAGTGGCAAAGGTCCCAGAGTGGTTCCCTGGTGCTGGCTTCAAACGCATAGCCCGTGAGTGCCGAGTGACCGTCGAAGAGATGGCTGCTATACCTTACAAGTTTGTCAAAGATCAGATGGTGACTAAGATTTGTAGTTCTTCCGCTACGCACTATTGATTGAATTTTACAGGTTGCTGGCATTGCCCCCAAGTCTTTTTCCTCAGATCTGCTAAAGAACCGTACTTTGACTGCGGAAGAGGATCACATTGTGAAGTGGTCTGCTGTATCACTATTCAGCGCTGGTGCCGACACGGTTTGTCCGTTTGAAACTATCATATGTTGGGGCTAACGCCTGTTTGTTCAGACTGTTTCTGCGATCTACTCATTTTTCCTGGCTATGACACTTTTCCCTGATGTGCAGAAGAAGGCTCAGGCTGAAATTGATGCTGTTGTTGGCCCTGATCGTCTTCCCTCCTTCGCCGATCGCACCTCCCTCCCCTACATCGAGGCGCTTGTTAAGGAGGTCCTCCGCTGGAATGTTGTCATACCTACTGGTATGCGTATCTCGTTTATCGTAATCTTTAGTTGACCAACAGTGCCCGATGTCAGTTGATCACAGCGTAACTGAGGATGACATCCACGATGGGTATCACATTCCAAAAGGCTCCGTGATAATCCCTAACATATGGTTGGTACTCTCCTTGTACATATGGTATATTAACCCTTTGAATTGTAACAGGTTCATGCTCAATGATTCGCAGACATATGTCAACCCCTCGGAATTCAATCCTGAGCGCTTTTTGGCAAAGGATGGAAAAGAGCCTGAGACCGATCCTCGCACGTTGTGCTTCGGTTTTGGTAGACGGTAAGAGTTGAGTCGCTGTTATATTTTGAATGAAATGCTAAGGTTCTGTTCTATAGGCTCTGCCCAGGTATGCACGACTGACAGGACACTGACAAGTTTTCTAACGTTGATCGCTTTCGACTGTATAGGTCTGCATCTCGCTGATGCATCCATCTGGTTAACCGCCGCAATGTCACTTGCAGTGTTTGACGTTTCCAAGGTTGTCGAGAATGGCGTTGAAATCACCCCTGAAATTGACCCCTCATCCGGGTTGATCAGGTATGTCGCGTATCTTAATATGACTACGATGCTCTGGACATACACACTCGCAGCCACCCAAAGCCTTTCAAGTGCTCGATCGAGGCTCGCTCTGAAAGAGCCTCTACACTTATAATTCAACAAGATACTTAAGTACCAAGTAGTGCTAACTGGCGGTTGTTTCACACAGTAGCATTCTCACCTTTATGTTTGCAAGGCTCGAGGCCACATCACAAAGTATTCTACGATTTCTTCTGCTTGATCACACGAGGGAACTCGCGGGGTGAATGATGCACGAATGCTCTCTTCCTCTGCATGCAATTGATTGTGAGCTAGAACACACTGCCATTCAGAGTACCTTGAGACGAGGTTTTCAGGCCTTTGTCCCTGTTATTATGTTGTTTCCGTGTATAACTTTCTTCGTTGTACCATCATATGAACGTTAGTGATAAGGTACTACCCGCACTACGTGAGTCGTGAGTGTCAGAGATTCCTGAATGTCCTCGCAACAGCGCCGCAGCGCGTGACTGCAGTGTGCCTGACCTGAGTAACACCGTCGTCCTCTCCACATCAGTGATTTGAGCTTTTTGTTATTTTGTGTTCTGCTTGACCATCTCACTTCGCGTGGGCGTAGACGTGAATGTTAATTGAGGTTAGCCAGCCAATGTCGACAGTGCAGGGTATATACGGCAGGCGGCTATACCCGGCGGATAAAATAAGAGGCGCCGCGTTGTGGCCAGCTGTGATCCTCGAATCAAAATAAGCAGGTTCTTGTGGACTGCCATTGCACACCCTATCGATTAACTAGCCAATGGCAAGCCAGTCAGCAAACACCTCATTGGAACAAATTCACATAGTATAATGGGCTACCTCTTTCATCTGAGTCGTTCCCTTGTACCACCATGATTGCGCCGCAGGATGACGAGGAGACACCTCTCCTGCAACGACCAGAGCAGCGAACAACTAAGACACCTCTGCCCTGGGATCGATTTTGGATTATACTGCTCTTGGAGATGCCAAGTTTTCTTTCTTCTCAGACCCTTGCCCCGTTCATTCCCCAGGTGAGTAGATTTCCCTTTGCTAGACTTAGATCTGACCACAACTGGAACTTTGTCAAGCTCATTAGAGACATTGGAGTGACTCACGGAGACGAATCCCAGGTTGGTTACTATGTCGGCATCCTTGTAAGTGTGTCTTCATTGTTCCTACTCCTTCATTCGTTCCTGATATTTTCTTGAGCAATCATCATGCTATGCAGCTCATATGCTGACTATTTTCCATTGGAGTCGACTATCCGATCACATCGGGCGGAAGCCTGTAATGCTGACAGCTTTATTAGCAATCATTGTTTCGATGTTTTTGTTTGGGCTATCGAAGACTTTCCTTGGTCTGCTGGTCAGGTCAGCGTGTTCGGCTGAAAGTAGTTGTCTATCAATACTAATATCCTTGACCAGTCGTGTTTTCTGCGGAGCATTTGATTCGAGCGATGGTGTCCTCGAGACCTTGGTGATGGACACCACTGACGTGACAAATATGCCTGAGGCATACGGTTATATACCAATTCCATGGATGATCGGAAACACAGTTGGGTAGGCATACAGTACATTTTCTCTCGCACTGAGGTTCACGGCATCTGCTAGACCACTCATTGGAGGATCGCTCTCCCGACCAGCAGACAGATTCCCTGACATCTTTGGGCGATCAGAACTCCTGAAAACTTATCCATATCTCCTGCCATGCTCTATTTCAGCATTTTTTATATCGATAGCTTGGCTAATCACGTATTTTCGTCTTAAAGAGGTGAGCGTGATACTGAAAACTCATCTCTGGATCACACTAAGTATGGTCGTCAGAGCGTTTCTACCAGGACACCGCTTTGGGAGCTAATTAAAGCAAGATTCTTCGGACAGTCATACCAAAAGCTTCGCCAGCCATCGAGTAATGTTGATCCTGGAGAAGTCCAATCAAAGCCGCTTCCGCTACATGCCTTGTTAACCTCGAAAGTGTTGAGGGTAACAACGAGTTACGCTACCACAAACCTGCTTTACATAGCGTTTACTTCGGTCCTACCTGTTTTCTATGCGACACCGATTGAACTTGGTGGTCTTTCCCTTGACCCTCCTCGCATAGGCGCTTTGCTTGCGGCACAAGGTGTCACACATGGCATATTTCAGCTACTTTTCAATGCTCGTTTACATGATCGCTTCGGTGCAGGAGCTATCCACATCACCGGCGTTAGCTCCGGCATACCCATTGTCATTTTATTTCCAGTCATCAATGCTCTGGCTCGAGCCTATGGTGTAGGTGTGGCGGTATGGCTGTGTGTTGCTGTCCAGCTTGCGCTGACTACTAGCCTGGTCATGTGCTACCGTATGTCAATCCAGCACTTTCTGCGTTCTGCTAAACTAAAAAGAACTCATAGCCTGCATGTCATTATTCGTCAGAGCAGCTGCTCCTAATCGCGCCTCGTTCGGAGCAACCAATGGAATTGCCCTAGCAGCCGTCACAGTGGCAAGTATCATCGCCCCGGCGTCTGCAGCTTCGGTCTTCTCTTATTCATTGCAGGAAGGGCACGATGCGTGGTCGATATACTACTTCTTGATGACAATTACATTTCTCGCAGTAGGTACTGCTCTATTACTTCCCCGTGATCCTAGTGTGTGGGAAGATTCCCAATGATATTATCGCGAATGACCGCGTGCTATGACAGTGTGGGGGGGAAGAACTGGTAAACTGTCCTGAATCTCCTGGTATTCGCGATGAGTTTGAACAATGGTTTAAAGCATTTGACCTTGTTCAGGATGTGTTCTATGTGGTGTGTTTTCGTTCCCAGTTCCCAGTTCCACTCTGAGAGTGTCTCGTTGTCTGGCATGGGCCGGGCATGTGAAGAGGAAATGATGCAGCAATTCGCTTCCTTCGTTGCATTGCTAGCATGTCGCTGTGTCTGACTTCGCTACGCGATGAAGATGTTTACTGAGCGGTGTGTATCCTGTTCGGACTTGGAACAGAACAGAGCTCTTGGAACCCTGTCAATGATATCTGTGAAGTCGAGGGTGTGAATGGATCTATGGTGTGCAGGATGGCATAATGGGGGGATTTGCGCATGATCTTTGACGCTTCCTGTTTATTTTCCGCTCAGAAGTTCTGCAGTGTCAATGATTATGCTGTAGATTATTGTCCATCTTATCATGCACAAAACAGCATCTGCATGCATGATATGTTGTATGTGAATGAGCTATATTGAAATAAAAGATGGTTCAGGTGTAAAGCGTTGGCTGCGTGCAGCAGAAATTGGGACTCGCACGCAGGTGTATCGAACTAATGATGATTACAACAGCGATTGAGTAGTACAGCTCAGTTGTACGCGAGAGATGTTGTCCCATATGTAAGAGAAATGAAAACTGGCAGGCACCGAACAGTGTGAACGTTCACGTTCAAACTTGAGCAGATGGGAGGCTGGGCGGGTTGCATTGAGTATCGAAAGCATAGGCATAAGCAGACTGATTCGGGAAAAGTGCATGGGGGAAGAATGGAACCTGGATTCCGGAGTGTGCTAGAATTTCAGATCAGACTAGAATTTATACTTTGCAGGTGTACGAAACGACGGTAACCCTGTGGCTAACACCTACATCGCACGACGGTCATAACGCAGTTCAATTTTACCTGAGATGTGTAGCGTATTATATTGTGGAGTGGGAACTCGGCAGCATGTTGTAAGAGATGGAGCAGAGACGTTCCAAAAGGTAGTCGGCCTCCAGAAGGCGCAGTAGTGTAATGGGTTTCACGTTTGCGCCCTAGCACGAGGGGACCACATGAGACGCATACAGGTGGACACCGCTCCAAGGTCATCATAAAATTACATATTGCAGATACTGTGACAGTTCAGCCTAGAAGTTCGAGAGCATCGTTAAATAACTAGAAATAGATATCTGTCTCCAATGAGATGTAGAGCCAGATACATCTATTATAAAGCTCACCTGGGTCATCACGGACGTCATAGTGACAAGGGCGTAAAAACAGGGATCGTAAATGAAGCGGCCGCCATCTAATCCTCACTTTCGACTGCATTCCTTTAAACAACTGACAAGCACGTTCCTGGGAAAGACAGTATTCTGAACAGGTACTATAGAGTTCTCTGGAGACATACCCGAACTGTCCATCGAAATGGTAGAGAATCTCGGTTATAATTTCTATTTGAAGTAGGTGAGTACTCAGTGGCTCCGTACCATGGCATGGAATCGACTGAAAACCTCTTCGGATTTGCAATGTCAACATTGGGCAAATAAGACCATGAGATAGCCTACCGGTACGAAGCTGTAGAGGTGATCTGGGGGAGGCGACACATAAGATTGGCTATAACTATTGTCCTAAGAAAATTCCCCAAATGTAAGAATGACAAGACTATGCTAAAATAACCTGAAAACTCACCACATTGGCGTACATGTAACTCGACGCAGCGCCGTATGGATGATTGATCATGACGGTCCAGCATGAACGAGTACGAGTATGACGGTATACTATGTGGTCCCTTCTGTTCGCTGCAGCGGGGTCAGAAAACCGCACGCAGGTGAACGTTGAAGGAAGACCGCTCTACACCGAGGCGACCATGTGAAGGATGCAGTGCCGATACGGCCCGACGCGAGATAACTTGGCAGGTTGTGATGGACATAGCCCGAATTCAAGTGAACGGCTGTGAGCCGAAGTCCTGGGTTTAAATTTAGTTACATGATTCTTGAAGATCATGATGAGTCTTTACTTAGACTCAGACTCTTTTGAGAATCGAACTGTGCCCACCCGAATGCACCAGCCATGCCGAGTTTACCTGCCAGCAGTGGCCACTGGGCCAAGGCTAAACTTGGCCAGGCCCTTGCCATGGCATTGCCGTCGCGGAGATGTCCGACTCCCGGACCCGATATCATCATAACCACTACTAGGTCAGAGAAAATTAATATTTTCATAGTACGACTCGTGAATTTATTACTGGTGGGACAGAGCCTAGTTCGCTAAAATAGTTTAGAGTCTCAGCGAAGCTTTGGAACAATGCTGAGGTGAAAACAAACGCGAGACGCGGTATATGTACAATGTGTTACATAACCATCAGCAGCCAGAGTCGCAAAGTAGGTATGTATATGGTGAAGAAGGTGCCAAGAAGAGAAAGGGAGTAAACACGAACAAATCAAGTTGGTTATACCTTGATCATACAATGTCACCATCCTGCAGTGTATTCTCGTGTTGAGGTGACCTCCTGCTGAAGTGGACCATGCGGACGGTCATCGATTCATCGATGATACCCCGATTAGTAGGGCCCGACCATCAAAAGTCCCTAACCGCAGTGATCCCGGCCTTGTGTGCGTCATTCTCATTGTACTTCCTTTCTTCTGATTCTCTCAGACTGGAGATGCACAGCACATCCGAGTTGCGGTTATAGTTTGCATGGCATTGGTATATATTTATCACGCACAGCCCGAGCGTCACACAATCATGATCATCAGTCACTATGATCACGAGGAGGTACATAAAACAGATCAAAGACTTGGCTGGACATTGTTCACTCAGTGCACAGGCACCGTCTCGATCGTAAATAGCCTCGCTGGTCCATCTCTGACTGCAGATATCACGTTTATTGCATATCCCCAAGTGTCTTGAATTTACGTGCATCTTCACGGGCAGCTTGAAGTGCCACGGCGGCCGATTGGGATTTAACGCTATCGTCCACATGAGACGGGGTGTCCTGAGCATGCACAACTACTGAAGGGGGATCATTATTGTCTCTCACACCGGAAGGGGTGTTTTGAGCCTGCGATGCCACAATTGGAACAGTTCCTTTTTTCACATCAGGAGACGTGCTTTGTTCCCGTACGACCACCGATTTTGGAACAACACACCTTTCACAGCAAAAGATGTGATTTTTGGAATCTGCGTGGGCTGAAGTGTGAGTTTAATCAACTACCTCAATATTTGGAGTCGAAAAAGCGCCTTCATGGTTGACGTTTTTGTCAGGGTTGCGACTGCGGAAACGTTTCAAGCGCCTGTGTATAATTTCAGCGCTTGATTCCAGTACGGCTCAGCATCCTTTTCGACTTACGGAAAATTGGTCAAATACACTATTCTTAAACTTCAGAAACAACGAATGAGTTTTGCCATGGGGTACCTAAAACGGAGCATGCCAAGAGTCAATACATCGAGCGATAAATTTTAGAAACGAGCCACGTACTACCAAGGCTTCACTAGCTGCGATTGCATTGTTGAAGGCTTTTGAAGGAGGATACGAGCTTGAAGGTTTCATAGGAGAAAGGAATTCTTCGCCCATCCGGGGAAGGGGAAGGTTTGTATCAGTCTGAATGAAGTATGAAAGGGTATGATAAGTGTGTGATAGCCTGAGGAGAACGGTTTAACCATGCGTTGGGACGGGTATCACGACGGAATTCTGCGAGTTCCTTCGAGTTCCATATGCATCAGCTGTTTACGTCGGATGGTGAAATATGAAACATTGGTTTGATGGTGGCTTGATGTAAATGATTTGGTCTAAACAAGCGCACGCGACTCGATGAAACTTACGAAGAGCACTCAGCATCCTGGCATTGCAGAAAACCATCATCGATAAATTATCTAGTGCGACTGTATCAGTGGTCCATTGCGGAAGGGCTGAGCTTATGAAGGTGATACTAATGGACCAGCAACACGGTTTGTGAACGGATGAGTCCAAATTCTAAATAACGAGCGCGACGCCAATGTCGTAAAAATTAGATGTCCGACTCGGAGCGCTCATTCCACGGTGGTGGTTGTCTTTTTCCTATTTGCGCGATGATATTTCCACATTTCAGGCAGAGACTGTATGTTCTTGATTTTTGTTGCAAGTACACTTTCTGAGGTCTCAATTCAAGTCGAACGAGTACCTACATGGATGACAGCGTTATGGTCGACAGACTCTAAACATTGCTCCGTGAGCCGAGGACCGAGTACTGAGGACTGCTGAACGAATCCATGTCCACCGGCGAGCTATTGATGAAGGAGGTGCGAGCCAGGATGTTGCATGCATAACAGTGTACACCTTTTTTCTGCTGACGGACAAGAACAATATTCTGCAAGTTTTTGGGCCTCATGACAGAGTCGCCTGCCTCGTTCTTCGTGCCTACTAAGCTCCATATTGACTCGGATCTCAGGTGGCATGCTCAATAGTCGATGACCAGTCAATATCAGAACAACTACCTCCATGAGTACACTATGGAGAACACGTCATGACTGATCGGCTTTTCTACTAGCACATGTTAATGTACTGGAAGACTGTTCACCTCCTTCGACCTCACTCGGAGTCACGGTCGAGCTTGAAACGCGGTAATCCATTTCCCCTTCCACATAATATCTTCGTCAACACTCCTCGAAATTCCAGGACTGCTATTACATTTTCTCGGATATCGATGCCCGAGAGACACAATCAGCCAAGGTCCAAGGTCTCCTCTCCCTCCCAAGCACATGATTATATTCCCGAGACAGCGGGTCCATCGGGGTTATGGTAGGCAGCAAGCGGCTGCTTGATTGATGCCTCACCATGCATAGCCGGGGCGGAGGTGTGCAGTGGTAGGCAAATCGGATTGTCTCCTTGAATCTCGAATGTTTTTACGTACTTACTCGGTATTGAATGCTGCTAATCTTTATAGTAGTAATACAACTTTACAATTGCTAGCACTATTGCTGAGCACTGAAGCATCTAGCCAAGACATCAGAACACAACGTTTACATGCCATTTTTGTATTCCTTCCCCCATTTTATGTGGCCTTGTTGCTAATGAGAAACCCTCTTGGCTTCGTGAGTGAATGAGCAATTCCGAGGAATGTTTCAGCAAGTTGAACCTAATTGCACAAGGAAAAATGTCAAGTAGGCTTTACACCTGACATTAGATGAAATTGCTCACCGTATCTAAAGCTTCTGAGTATGTGGATAGAACAGTGGCCGCCACGGGAGCCAAGGGGTCTCGCGGGGCGTTGTTCTGGGCTTCTAGAGCGATCTGGGACATTCTTCTCAATGACGAAGAATGTTTATTTTGGCCAAAAGAAACAGAGTGGAAGGATAATGGTTTTCTAGATTCAAAGTCTGAAAATCAGTGAATCAAGAACGCGATGACAACCACAAACCCAAGACGGATTGCAGAGCGGCACAAATCTTGAATGATTTGGTCCTCGATAGGGCTCTCGCCATCAGACAGGAATATTATTACAGGTGTTCTGTAGTATAATCCCACGTAAACGCTTCGCAGATCAATCAGTAATGAAGATTTACCTCTCTGTGCTCCAGCATTGCTCCATAACTGACTGGGCACGTTGAATGGCAGCAGTGAAATTTGTGCCTGCTGAAGTTTGATAACGTAACACAGCGTCTAGCAAGTTGTCAGGCGAGCTGGAGAAATCGTTGACCACGGCGTCCACAACAGACTGATCAAACAGGATGACACTGTAGGAGTCTCGTCTAGCTGCTTGTGAACCAGCGACTGCTGCAGCTCGGGCAGACCAGAAGCTGTACAAGGACGACAGAACAGCGCCAAACCTATTGTTAGAGCTTCGAATAATTTTGTCCGAGGTGGGTGTATTCCTGAGAGGTTGCCGATCTCTCCGACACATGGAGCGAGATCTATCATTATAATCAACATGCGTTGTAATATTCAACACATGGCATGCAATACCTATCTGCCACAAAGATTCTGGCGTGCATCGATTAACGACATTGCTATGGAACAAAAGAAAAATGACTTACACGTGAAACGCTTGCTGCATCACCACGGGATTCCTGCAGGAGAAATGATGCCCATCATTGGAGATGTATCCGAGGCTTGCTCGGGGGGTGTCTGGATCCATTGGAACGTGAAAGAGAGGCAAAGTACAAAAAGAAGGCTGAGCGGCATTTCCCTCTGCAGCTGTGTGTTCAGGACCTGGTATCAAGATCAGTAACCAACTAAGATCAGTAACTAAGATAACCTTACCACTGCACATGGCGTCACTGAATAGGGAATGTGGTCAGTGCCACGGACAAGACACTGTAAAACTCACCACTTTGCAAAGTTTGCTTGTTCCTCCCGAGAGTACGGATCTTTGAAGCCTGTGGACATGAGACCAGCCAACATAATGACAACATGCCGACTCACCACTCCGTCGCCAGAAGAGATTGTGTGTCAAAAAGTCTTTGGGACGGTCCGGGGTTGGTGACACTCTCTTGGAGATATGCAGAACTTCAGGGTCCCATCTGCACGAGGTAACATCCTGCGATCGACAGTAGTCAATGTGTACGTGTCTGCCCAATGTCTGGCAGACAATGTTGCACATCATCGGTGCACCCTCATCGTTTGAGGAGAAGCGACGGCCTTCAACCTCGAGACTTGTACCATCTGGGCCATCGATTGCCCATTGTGACGAAGACATGGATCCGTGTCTGGTTTCATGTTCTTGTTGCGGGTGACCTGGTGTAATGCTTTGTGAAATGTCACTGCTGAGATACATCAAACAGTACCCACCGAGCGGCAATGTACAATAGTAACCACAATGCTCACACCTTCAAATACGAGAAAAAGTGAGGAATGGTCATGGGGTGAAACGAAGATCCGAACCTTGCTCTGCAAAAATGCACCACTTTTTCGTCCAAACTATGGTTATGCTTACCCTCATGGGCTGCTAGGCCCGGGGGTATCGGTTTGGAACATTTCAGTCGTTTAGCCACTATTCAGAGAATGGTAAATGCCAGCATGGAAGGTAAGCAACTCGCATACAAACCTTGTGAATACTGGGAAGCAGAGTATTCTGTTAGCTGAGAATATACCCAAGACAAACACACCACGCCACCTTCGTGTACTGGAATGTCTCGTGCTTTCCAGTGAACG